AAAAAAAAAAAAAAAAAAAAAAAAAAAAGAAAAAAAAAAAGAAAAAAGAAAAAAGCATTGTCTTTACTGTTGAAAACAAAAGAGGTTGATGAAATTATCCTTGTATGCATTATATACTACATCATTTACCTCTAATCGTATTTAATTTTTTACAATACGGTTTACTGGAAAAACTGCTAAGACGGGAACTTAAAGAGTACCTCGATCACCTTCCTTTAACAAAGGCTTCGTGGTAGATAGGATAGTCTAAGGCACCGGCTATAATTACTAGTAAAGAGTATTTTCGAGTCATAATCATCCGGATGAAAAGGGAAGAGATAAGTTATCTAAATCAGCTATAGTTTAATATTCCGTCTTATAATCTACTTTAAATTAAAATATTTAGCATACAACTATAATAAAGCAACGTATAATCCGTATTCCAGGCCTCCTAGTCGCCCGCCCGCGGGCGGCAGGCGGGCCGGCGGGCTGATTATATAGTAGCCCGCCCGCCTAGGCGCCCGTCTTCAGCCCGCCCGCCTAAAGGGCCCGGGCGAGAGCGGGCGGGTAACTAGGAGGCCTGCCGTATTCTCTATCGAAACTTTTTATTGCCGCAATGTCGCTTACAAGGATTAGTCTATAGAAACTAGATTCTGCTAGGTTTCGTGGCCGCATCCGGTTTATCTGACAGGAATCTATCGATTCTACTTTTTCTACCCCCTGCTACATTCTATAAATTGGCACTAGACTGCTTTTTCTATTTTTAGCCGGCTACCAGAACTTGCTGCGACCTAAATTCCAGCCACGCTTACATTTTTACTTCCAGAGGCTAGTCTAACACCTAGCACAACTTTCTACTCTTTAAAAGACGGTATTTCATCCCGCTAAGCCAAAATGATTCAACGTCAAAATATAATTAGAAGGAATACCCGTCTACGAAATAGAACGCATATTTAGGGACCGATTAACGATTAATTTATATTATAACTTACTAAGAAACTATTGTGATTAGTCGAGACGAGATCTACGCCTAGGTTACTAGGGTACGCTCGTATTATCGGCGCAGGTACTTGTTTTTTCCAGCCTTTTCTTTGCCTTATTTTGCCTGCTTTCTCTTTCAGGCTTAGCCTGCTTAAGCCACAATGACTCTAGAGTCTAGACCGTGATATACCCTAAAGATGCATATTCTCTTATATCATGCGGTATATGTACCGCATTCTTTCGGACTTTTAGGCTGAGCTAGATATCGTTCCGACCCGAAAAGGATTAACGTCGCTTTTCTACACCTGTTAAAAATAGAAGTATCATTCGATAGTCCTCAGCTGAAGGTGGGAGTGTATGAGGCTGATGCTACGCCTTTTTGCCGTTCCAACTATAAAAGCAGTTTGAAATCGTTACAATCTAATGCAACCTCCTACAATTTTGGAACTAAACAGCTCTTGTACCATCCACAGTTTTCAAAAATGCATACAATTCAGTTGGCAACGGCTTGTCTGGCTATTGCAGGTTGCGTGTTTGCTGCTCCTGCAACTCAAGTTGCAAGCAAAGATTCCCAGAGGTATGATGTTTCCTTCAAAAAGCAATAGAAATTTTAACATTAATAGACTTTCGGCTCGGGCGACGTACTGGATCAAGTTCTATAAAGACGGAAGATTCACGGGAGATAATCTTTTCCTTGAAAACCAGGTGACCGGAGTTTGCTGTACGTGCATAATATTATCTTTCTTCATGGATGTTAACTGTAAATAGATAATTTGCCTGGCAATTGGAACGACAAGATGAGCTCTGTTCAAGTCTCTGATGGGCATTCATGCCGATACTGGAAGTAAGAGGTTCTCCTGAGCCCTAGGGCGGACTCTTTCATCTGACTTAAAAAGGGACAACTACTGCACCGGCAGCGTATTTGGCGGCAACGACCAGGACTGGGCGGATCTTCCTACCGGGTTTAATGACAAGGTTACCTCTTGGCGTTGTTCTTAATTCTATGGAGCCGCGAATACCTTAGCTATAAGATATTCGATTTGTGGATGCAGCGGAGCTGAAGATGCCTTTACCTAGTTGACTATATCCTATTAATCCTATTTCCTGGATTTCTGCGCCAGCAGCCGTTTATCCGCTGCAATCTTGATAACAGATGGCCTTGTACGCAACCTCGCGAACCATGAGCGAATACAGGAAACTCCCCTGCCGGGTCATAACCGGACAAAAAGATATTAAGCACCAAGTACATGGGAATGAAAGCTAAATTGGCATATGAAACGTTTTATCCAACAAGGTATTGCTGACCCGTCCTCGTAAGGTGCCCATCGATCACTCCAATGATGCGATTGATCTCCTTCGTGAAATATTCGGTTGCGGAAGCGACTTGGTCCTCGGGATAGAGGCGTGAGAGCCAGACTTTGTATCCGACGCTGGGACCCTGAGCGGACATTTGCAAGTGGAGCCACGACCGCTCTAGGTACTTTTCCTGAAGGGACGTACGGTGCAGACGGGCATCCGTATCGTACTGGTCGATGAGGTACTCGATGATTGCACCGGACTTATAAGGCATGTTGTGGTCAGCGGGTTGCCTTCACCATAAACAACATTACGGCAAGACTTACTTCGAAGAGAGTAATGTCGGTGTTCGGATCTTCGATGGCCGGAAGTTTTCCATTTGGATTCAATTTCATGAAGTTCTCTTGCTTCGCCTCGGTAAACTCGAGATACTTGCTCTCATATGGGAGCGCAACCTCCTCAAGGGGTAGCGCAACCTTCCATGGATTGGGCCCAAGAGCATGGGAACAGAATGTGATTAATTTAAGAGTTGCCATTGCTAGTGGTCTGAAGTCTAAAGCTGTACCGACGGATCAATGAGTACTAAATATATACCAGCGCTCTTGAACTGCAGTCGATGCCTTCACCTTGCTTTCGATTGAATGGAAAAGTGCTCACTTGCCGTAACCTATAATTGCTTTGAAGGAATTGCCACAGTAGCCTGTAAGACCACCAGGAAATGATTTTCCAGTGCGATGAGCTTTTCACTTCTGCGACAAGGAGACTGGTTCGTACCAGGAGCAGCCATAAGCGAATTTTGTAGATAAACCAGGAATATTGTCTTGGATATTTAGTAAACCCAAGACGAACCTAAACTGCTTCTCTATCAAGATACGCGAACACAGATCGAGCACGTGCCAATAGAATGCAAATCTCCGCGTCAGATATTTACGGCCATGTACTATCCGTACACGACCATATGACAGGTAATACGAATATGCCGCACCTCCATCCGTCCCCACACGCTCAAACCCCCGAATCTTCCTGCTTATATATTACCTTTGTCTCCCAAAACTCTTCCCACCTTTTACAAGTTTCACGCTAATCTCTCTGCGCCCCCAACTTATCCCTAACCTAAATAATTAATTGATTAATTAATTGGTTTCTATAAGCTATGCAGGTCTCTATAGGACCTATAAGCTATCTTAACGTAACCTACTATAAACATAACGCTTCCTAGTCTTACCTAATCGCCTATATATAAAAGAGTAGATGCTCTAGAATAGAGCTAAGTATCTAAATACTAATATTTACCTATCGCTAGGTATTACGGCAATGAGGCGGATTCGAATCAGATTATGTAGGATTAACTATAAGACGTGGTACGAAGAGGAAAGGAAGAGAACGAGAGGCGGCGGCTATATATATAGCTCGCTAGTAGGCGCTGTTACGGACCACAAGGGAAATCAACCCGCAGGGTCGAGAAGACCTTATGGGAAGAAGGCCCACACGGGCCTGGAGACCTCAAGGGCTTAGTAACCACAAGGGCCCGCGTCCCGCAGGGCACCAGCAGACACGTGCTAGGCAAAGCCGCAAAGGAACTAAGGCCACAACCCCAAGAAGCCCACAGGGGATTATCGTCCACAAGGGCAAAAGCAGCAGGCCGACAACAGACTCACAGAGCGATCAAGGACAAGGAACTTATCGCGTCCGCTCTGACGAAGGGAAGTTGGTTGTCAAGCTGCAGGAAACCGGTCGTCAGAAAAGTGGCACGAAAAGTCACATGACCTAGGACGATCCCCACGCACAGGCCAATAGATCAGAACTGATCCATATGCCTAATCCAATATCATGATCCAAAGACATGATCCAGATTGTTAGCATCTCCTACATGTATATAGACCACGCTCTCTAGCAGTAGATAGGACCTTCGTGGTCAACTCAAAGTATTAATCTCTACCAAAGGTTGATGGTAACACGCCTACTCCGATATTCACGTGACTTGTCTCTCAACTTCCTACACTTCTTGTCCTTCAAGGTAAACCCCCACACCTCTCCGTCCGGCCAGGTGTACTCCAAGCAAATACGCTAAGAA